AGATTCACCTGCCTCTGTCTCTGGAGTGCTGGGATTAAAGGTGTGCACTATCACATCCAGCTAAAATTCTTATACTAATTTAAAGCAATGATTGCTTTTTTAAAAAAGATATATAAATAACAAACTAGTTGTGGGGATAGCTAGAATGATAAAACACAGCCCCACACCAGATACATGAAGACATTTTGGACAGAACCAGTGAGGCTAAGACAACTAGCAAGAAGGACGACTGGAATGAACCATGTGGCCTCATTAAATGTAAAGGCCTATGTGGGGGTGGGGGGTGGGAATCAGCAGCTTAGATAAATGAACACTCCAGACCCCACTCTGTACTAGACATAAGACCAACGTCTGAGCAGACTGGCTGAGGAGTGAGCTAGAAAAGGCAGCGTTCTTTAAAATGCTCTAGTACACATGTTACTGCCAAAGCAAACTGCCGACCAAGAACTGTTACCAGGGACAACATCTACTGTGAATAACACAAATGTTATAACTTACATGTGTGAGAATGTGTGCAAGCAGACAGAACATCCCAATTTAAATGTGCTTGATTATACATCTTCACAAATGAGTTTCAAAATGAAGAAACTAACAAATTTATAATTCAAGTTGGAGATGGGAGTCAGTAAAACAAAAGGAGAGAGCATCATTACGGGCAAAGAGAAGATGAACACTGCTGTCAATCAGTTTGGCCTAACAGATGTCTACAGGACACATCACCGAGTGGTCCTGGATGCAGCGTTTTCAGTGTGTGCAGAACACTCACCAACAAGCTCCCTGTTACAGGCTACTAAACAGGCTTAAGTAAACATAAAAGATCTGATATCATGCAATCTGACTACAGGGAAATTAAAATACAAGTTAATAGCAGAATACTATCTTGATAACTCCTAATACTTGAAAGTTAAATATTTCATTTTTAAAATAATCTGTTGATTAAAGAGAAAGTCCTAGGGAAGTCAAACCCCTGGATTATACATTAATACCCAACAAGATGCCGCACAGAGATGCTACCATAAAAACTATTAGAGAGAGTGACTTTAATACCACCTCGTGACAAAAGATTCACACACAAAACTACAGTCATATTCTCATAAAGTAGTAATGGATAGCTGGAGATTGAAGACGTACTGAGGAGAATCCACATAAAATAAAAAATATAAACCATGTTCATGGATTAGAATCAATACTAGTAAGATATTATTTTTCTAGCTTTATCTATAAATTCAAGACAATCTTAATCAAAATCCTACAAGACTTTTAAAAGATTCTGCAAATGTTATATGCCACAGCAAAGGAACAAAAAGAAAAAGAGGAACAAGTCATGTCTCCTATAGCTTTTGAGACTATTATAAAAACAATTATAGCCAAGGCAGTGTGGTATTGGTGGAGGCCAGCCCTTTAGAGGACAGGGATATCACTGAGAGTCTGGGAGTGTGTCTACACACATCAGGCCAACTTTCTACAAAGCAGCTTGGAAACAACAGAAGAAGTTCAGCCTTACAAACAAACGGTATCAGAATACTGGACCATCATCTTTAAAATCCAAAAATAAAAACTTGACCCCTGCACTTCACCTCATATTACAAAACTGAACATCAAAAACCAGGTCTAGTGGTGCCTTCCTGGAGTCACAGCTATGTAAGAGGCTGAAGTGAGAACAGGAACCTGAGACCAACCTGGGGGCAAGCAGGTAATGCAGTGGTAGAAGACGTGCCTATAATCTCTCCTGGCTCCATGGCTTCAGTCTCCAGCAATGCACACAAACACATACACACACACATTCACACACTCATATGAAGTATCATATACTCATACACACATATATACACTCACACATATACTCACACACACTTTACATATGCACACTCACACATACACTTACACACTAACATACACACATGCACATATACTCACATGTACTCTCACACACTCATACATACATACACACACATATACTCATACACATTTACACTTATGTACACTTATACACCCACATATTCACATACACATACTCACACATGCAAATACACTAACACACAGTCATACATGCACATGTACATACATGTACATGCACATGCACACACATGCACACTAACACACCACATACATGTGCACACACACACATGCACATACACACACACACATACATACACCCCTCTATAAAAATCCAGAGGAGTCTTTGCCTTGAAAACAGGGGTTCTTCCGGGTGTCAGTGCAGCATTCACAAACTGTCCGTGTGTCAGGCAACAGAAGCAGTGACAGTGGACTCTCAAGAAGAACTGCTTTAAGCAACAATCTCTAACCACAAATGATACATACAAATCAAGGTGAGTAACAATAGCTCCCAACACTCAGAAAGTTTGAAATGCTCTTTTTAAAATTCTTCTGGCAGAGGGACTGCAAAGGGGAGTCATAAAATAGGTAGGAAATAATAATATTAAAATAGCGCCTATAAAATGCTATGGGACAGAGCTAAAAGAGTGTTATAGAAAATGCTCAGCATGCATGAGGTCCTGGGCTTGTTCCCTAGCATCAGATAAAACTGGGCATGGGTGTGAACATTTGTAAGGTGTGTGTAGTCGGGAGGTGGAAGCAGAGCATCAGAAGCTTGGGGTCATTCTTGGCTACACAGTGAGTTTGAGGCCAGCCTGGACTACTTGAGACCCATTCCATAACTGACTGACTAGCCTAATATCTAGGTAAGCCAGTAGCCCTCTAGGAATTTCTCCTCTACACACATGCCATGTGGCAGAACATATACCCACTCAGAACTAGTAAAGGTGACCTTACTGGAAATAAAGGGCCTTTCTGTCTAGGCTTTTCAGAGAGCACCCTGGGTGAGCCAAGCGGACTCTAACTCATAGGTGTCCCCGTGAGAGACAAGACAAAGATATGGCACAGGAGATGCTAAGTAGATAGGAACAGAAATTACAGCTACAAGCCGAGGGACAGTAAAGACTGCTGGAAAGCACTGAGAACCAGCAGGGGCCTGGGACAGACAGCCCATCCACAGGGCCTCTGTAAGGGCACCACCTGCCAGCACTGTAACCTGGGACTTAATTACAAGAGACACTCAGGAACCTGTGGCCAGGCAAAGAAGAACCCGAAGAGTAGAGTGAGCCTTCTGAGGTAGCATACTCTAAGCTACCCATTTTGTGATCATTTACAACAGCCACAGGAAACTAATATACTCCACCATGTCACCCCTTATGGCACCCCTTGTAGTCAGACAGGAAATTCCAAGAGAATCACTAAAATTCAATATGGTGGAAGCCTACTCTGTTACAAAAAGTTATGAGCTTGTAGGGAATGCCCCCTGAAACAAACAGCCCTGGAAGTGGGAGGTCTTATTTACAGGAGACAGTTGAGAAAGGGGTAGACATGCAGAGGGAGACCATCGCACACTGGGGTGACCTGGAAGGGTAGGGGAGCAGAGTCTTGTGGAAGATACAGCTGGCCAGTGACAACTTCACATCCTGGGGACCAGAGAGACTGCCCCTGCCTTTACTATCCTTCCCTCCTCCTGGTGAGAAAGTTCGAGATTGGTGCCCTAGAAAAGGGCAGCATGGTGGAGAAGGCAGAGACGTGCTCAGTGGACGCACAAGGTGAAGTGGTTTTGTGTGAGGAAAGGGAGGCATAGAATAGTCCGTTCAGTGACAGCACTTCAGTAGGAAAGAAAACTTATGTTCTGTGTCCTAGTGACATGTGAACAGCATGAGATGCCCACCACGGAAATGGTTGTAAACTTTTTGCTGTGTACCATTCTCTGCCTTGGGAAGCTCGTATCATTTTCAGAGTGGAAGTATTTTATTTGCATTCACAACTACAGCCTTTAATTTTGAAAAGTCCATTGTTGATGATCTTTACAAAGGCCCTGTTTACTACAGTAATAGTAAAACAAAACAAAAACCAAATACTAGCCAGTGCCTGGGCTCCTCCCAAAGGAGGAGCCAAGGCCCAGCCGACTCACCTGTCCGGCAATGCCTGCAGCACTGTGGGCATCAGCACCCCGGAGATGGCCTTGTAGAGGATGGAGTCACACACGCCCACGATGTTCACCACCGTGGAGGAGCCTAGCACGGGCAGCATGTGGGGCGGCATCCCTTGCCAAAAGTGCAGAAGGAAACTTTGAACCTGCATTGACCCACAGAGAGAAGAGGGTTCAGACCGAGCCGTCCGTACCTGCAGAGCCTTGCTATTCCACCTCCACAGCACGGGTGGCAGGGCAGTACCTTCATCTACTTCCCCCATGACAGTGGGATGCTGTGAGGACTTGTGCCCACTGGCCACACTCACAGCATGCCCACTGCTAAACACCTGTCTGCCCCTGCAGCCTGGTGTCAGGCTTCCTTGCTGTGAGCTGAGTTAAGGAGAGAGGACCAGACAGGTTTTGTTGTTATTGTTTTGTTTGTTTTTTAAAAGGTCAGAACACAAGCACCCATTGTTCTTTCAGTCCCCTGGTGGCTCCTGGGTGCTCTGGGAAGGAAGGAGAAACATGTAGTAGTTACAGATGTAGAGGCAAGAAGTGTCTCCTACCTGCAAAATTCCCTAAATTCAAATATATGTACCCCACACCCAGACAAAGTGCAAGGAACTTCTCACATTCCAAACTCCCATTTTCACAAAGGGCCTGGTGTCATTATGAAGCTATAGGTGGTGACAGCATCGCAGTAAGCCACAGGGGCACGCGGAACACCTGTGATTGGCCTTTTCCTGTATCACCAAGACACGGAGCAGTACTCTGCTGGGTACTCAGGATGGAGCCGCCTAAAGGCGTGATACACCAAGCAGGGACTTGGAGAAGCAAATGGCTGAGTGGATGTCCCAAGAAGAGTATGTCTTGGCGACCCCACTTCCATGACTTTTAGGATATGGTTTGAAGGTAGAGGGATGAGACGGGGGTGGGGACAGAAAATGGTACGTTAATATACACAGTATCATCCCTAAATTGAGGAGCCCATCACGAAGCTGGGATCATCCAACCCTGGGTTTTTATAGCGAGCTGACTTGAGTCCTGGGTTATGCATCCTGCTTCTTACTCTACAAAACGGGCACTCTCGGGCTCCACATGGGGCATTTCCCATGTTGTTGATTCCTATAAATCCATACTAATTCAGCTTGGGAGATGTAACCTGACCCTTTCACCTTAGTGCTGTGGACCTGGTCTTTCTTTCTTTTCCTTTCTTTTCTTTGTTCTTTTCTTCTCTTCTTCCTTTCTTCCTTACCTTTCTTTTTTCTTCCTTCCCTTCCTTTCTTCCCTTCCTTCCTTCCTTCCTTCCTTCCTTCCTTCCTTCCTTTCCTTCTTTCCTTGCTTTCTTTTTAGAGCCTACCCCCTGGGAACCAGAAATGTCACAGAGTTCTCCCATATGACCCTGCTGCTGATCATAGAACTGAGCATCTTTACTCCCACTTACAGAGTTCCTAAGTTCATCACCCAGAGCAGAGCAGCAATCCAAAAGAAGAGGCAGAGCATGCGTCTTTCCACCGCCAGCCTCGTGATCGTTTTTCTTATTACTTGGTAACTAGAGTTCTAGCTTATTCCCAAGGCCCGTGTCTTTCTCTGGACTGCTGCTGCTCCACAGCTTTCTGTCTCTGCCTGAGGGCCTGTGCCACCCTTCAGATCCCTCCCAGGATCAGGCCCCATATCCCAGCTCATCCCTGGGGTGGGGCACTGACATATCCCAGCTCATCCCTGGGATGGGGCACTGAGTTCTCTCCAGGTTCTAGACTCTCTTGTTTGGGGCTCCCACTGTAAGAAGCCCCACCTATTTCATTCCTAAGAGTTGGCACAATCTGAGCACATCTGCTTTCCTGGGCTTTGCTCTCGTTCAGCCCTGCCCCTATTTTCTACTAGCTGTCAGCTTCCAGCAAAACATCTGGAAAAGGTCAGCTGCTGTGTAGGATAAAGCAAATCTATTGAGAGATGTTAGCAGACATCTGTCTGTCAAAAGTCTGCTCAAGACACACAAGGAACCCTTGTCAGTCCCCAAGTTCCTGGTGGTTATTGTATCAAATGCTCTATCCAGTGATAACCCTCCCTTCCTTCTCAGTTTTATGTCATTGAATGTCCCATGGTTCCCAGCCCTTTGAGAAGGAAAAGGAAGGAGAATGGGATGAATATAAGTGTTGAGACCTGGAGGCCAGCTGTGAAATGGGATACAGACAGCATGTCTGTTCAGGATGGAAAGCTGCCCTGACCTTTCTGTGGCCTGGGTAGGAAGGGAGGGGAAATGAAGAGCTGAGGTTCATGGCTTGAGTGGTCAGTCAGAGGGTCATAGCAATGTAGGGCAGAGGGTCATAGAAATGTAGGGCAGTGGGTCATGGCAATGTCAAACTTGGAGCAAACAGACTTAGGGCATGGAATTAAGAGCTCTGGGTTAGCCATATTAAATCAAGTCAATCAGATCTTATGCTCAGGACTAAGTGTGTAAGGGCCAGCAGCCCCTTTAAGATGGATACAATGGCTTCTACCTATTATTAGGATGACTTATGTAAAATGCCTGGCACTGTGTAGGCACTGGATAAGTGGAGCTTATTATTAGATGACAGGAGGAATTCTGGTAAGCTCTCCTCACCCTTTACATACAATTACAGTGAAAGGATTGGGAAAATGGTTAAGCACGGTCATTTGACGCCAGCTTTCTGGACTATCCATCCAGTCTCCTGTACTTTCATCCCTTCTTTCGGATCAGGGGAGCATCGGATTTTTAATTGTTCTCATTTTTATTATTTTATGTGTATGAGTTTTGCCTGTATGTATGTCTGTCTATCACGTGCATGCCTGGTGCTGGAGGATGTGGTGAACCTCTGTGTAGGTGCTGGGGTTCAAACTTCAGTCCTTTGCAGCAACAACAAGTATTCTTAACCACTGAGCCAGCTCTCCAGACCCTACATCTTAAAAAGAACACTTGAACAAGATTATTTCTTATCTCTTTTCCACATCTGTATTTAGTTTATTGCTAATACACTGACAACATGTAGATAGACAGCTAATGACTTGCAGTTGAGTGATCAATTGGCATGGCACTGGAAAATGCTCAGTAAAGCGACTTCCTAATATGCCTGTCATCTATTATGTCCCCGTACAAACTTGGACACTTTACATACACTATTTAATATATACTCTAATTTTGCTATGACATCATTATAATTGCCAAACTTTGGGGCAACATTAGAAAGGCTCAGAGGCAGAAAATGCTTTGGGTCAAAATCACAGGATAGTAAATGAAGGCTTGGGGACTCAAACATGGGACTTTGGGACTCCCCGGCTCATTGTGCTATACTGCCTGGGAAGGAGTCCCCTACATGTGAATTTGTGGGTCATATACTTGCTTGGCAATGTTCTACATGAATTGCATCTATCTGTTCAGCCATCACGTATCTACTAATCCAAACACCCAGTTATACAACAAACCAATATGAACTGGGAGCCTAAGAATATAGACAGCTAGAACAAGCATTGAAGGAGACGGATAAGGTCCCTTCCTACGGGGGTTACTGTGATACTTGGGGCATTTTTCTCAGCTGAGGAAGAAAGCCATTGCCCCCTTCATTGTGTTTTAGCTGGGTGGACTGAACCCAGTCTTGCTTAGCCACCTTAAAGGCTGCCAGCTGATACCCTTGCCAGGGCAGTAGAAAGAACATTAAACTAAAGGTGTCAGGTAGCAAAAGGATTAATCACAGCTTTGGTCACACACCAGCTGTGTGACCTTGGACAAGTCTCTTTCTTCTCTGGGTGACTGGGTATCTAATAATTGCAAGCATTTGTACAAGCATTTACGGTTGATAAGCCTTATCTCCTCTCCTACTGATCATGTGTATCAGATTGCTGCTGGTTTGTCTTCTTGGCTGAGAAATGAATACTTGCACTGTAGAGCCAGGCCTTGTGTTTCTTCTTTCATGAAGCTCCTGAACCCCTGTATGTTCCACGTTCGACTCTCAGATTTGCACGCCTTTCCTGTTCTCTGAGTCAGTTTGTGTGTATTGCATATCTCTCTAAAATTAGTAAATACCATATGGCAACATTGGATAACCACTAAGCGTTGGATGGAAAGGAACTAGCATGGCGTGAATGAGTTCTGAGTTGAATAGAGTTGCTCGTGAAGGAAGACAGTCACAGCAGCTGTGGGGGTGCATGCATATCTCTCAATCATGTGGCAAACAAGACAGAGCCCAGTTTTGCCAGTCCCACACAGTGATGTGTTCTATTTCTAAGATGACAAAGTGAAGAACAGGCGTGCCTTCCTTGTGGTCCCTTCACTGGACCCATGGGCTGCACAACAGGACCCTGCAGCCCCAGAACGTACAGTACAAGAAGCCTGGGCCCCTAAACCATACCTAGCCATCACTCTCCCAGCTAAAGAGAAGCTATATTAGATTGTTGTATGAGTAAGGGAAAAGCTTCCAGGAAGTTAAGACTTTGGGGCTCATTTGTTGTAGCAGCTAGTGTTGTCTTTACTGTCTGTAACTCATTACTTGCTGATTTCAGCAATTTTTAAACTGAGTTCAAGGCCAGCCTGGCCTATGGATTAAGTTCCAGGGCAGCCAGAGTTACACAGTAAAACCTTTCCTCAAAAAACAAAACTGACCAAACAAACAAAAATCACAGAAATGGCCACTTCAGTAATTTGGGAGAATTTAAAGGACATTTTAGAGAAGGAAGACCAGTCTGTTTTTTACCAACACATGACCATCTTTTGTGGTGCAGTCTCTATGTGGAAGGAGATGGTAAAGACACCATACATGGCCCGATCTCTTATGGTGCAGTGTCTATGATGCAGGAGACAGGAAAGGCACAGTATATACACAGCCCGACAAGCTTCATACAAAAGGTACCTCTGAGCTATTTTCCAGTAGTGACTAGGTTTTGTAACTCGTTTAGCACCAAGTTCTCTTTTCTCTAATTGAACATCCAGATCCAACCCCCAGGTGCTGCTGCTGCCACCACCGCCACAGTTTCTAGCTGAAAGATGCTGTTTTTAATCATTGAGGTCTCTGGTCTGGAAGGTGAGGTGGATGGCTTTTAGGGGAAGAGGATTTTAGCATCTCTCTCATTACAGAAATGCCACAGTTTTCATTTGCTTCCCCATTTCTGTTCTTTTTCTTGAATGCAGCATTTCTAAAGCAGAGATAAAGCGGCTATACTGATGGAATGTGGTGGAAACGGAAACCAGGCCTTGAGGGAGGAGAGACAGTAATCACTCCAAAACCAATAGGGATGATCTCAGGAAAAGGTTGAAACTCAGGATTATTTAGCTTCTCGGAATCCATACTTGTAGGCATGCTAATAGGCTGGCAGGATGGCCTTTCTAGTATGTGTCATTCTATAGTTAAATCAAGGGAAAACCACCACCACCTGACCTCTGTAAGATAGGATTGGTAGCAGTACCTGGCTTGTAGCATCACTGTGAAGGTAAGTGGACCAAGGCTACCAAGGGCTTCTAGACACCAAGCCCTGCACCTGGTGGGAGCTCTTAAAGTAAAGAGTGGGGATGAAATATAACATCTTAATAGAATATTCACAGCTTAATGCCACCGACCTACCTCATCAAAGTTGGCTCTTATTACAGTGTCCAGTATTCTCTGACAGTGTGTTCTGTACATCATAATAAAGGTGGAGACCTGCGGGGCGAGTGGAGGATCAACGATAAAGGAAGACGTTAGTGTTCAGTGTGGCTGCCCTGGGAATTTCAATGTTAACACCATTTATTCCACTGGCGGGATGGACTTTACCCACTATCTGTGCATCCTGAAAGACCTGAACGGGAATTGTAGCCCTTAAGTGATGTGCTATGACCTGACTCTTGGCTCCCTGCTCTGTGCTCAGATGGCACCCAAGCACCACCCTGCACTACAAAAGCACTGGTTTTACTCTGCTCCCATCTTGCACCTTGAGACTCTTGGGTTCCTGGAAAATCAAAAAATAACATGGTCTTTACACTCATGTGCCCAGTACACTGTAGCGTGCTTAGCATATGGTATGGTAGGGCTGAAGGGACTAAATTTTCCTTATGGCTAAGATACTAAAAAAATAAAATAAAAACAAGATAGAAGCCAGTGTATCATTTGTATAAATGCTTCTACAGAAGTTACCATAGGCATTTGGTGTCTATGAATTCTCTGAAATCTATGAGAGAGAGGGAGAGAGGAGGGAGAGAGGGAGAGAGGGAGAGAGGGAGAGAGGGAGAGAGAGAGAGAGAGAGAGAGAGAGAGAGAGAGAGAGAGAAACAGAGACAGAGAGAGGCAGAGACACAGAGAGAGAGACAGTCACCCCGGCAATTGCTTCAGATGAGGTTACCTTCTCCTCAGGAAGACTGGCTGGCAGGTTTAGGTCTTTGACGTTTGGAAAGTCTGGCAGCAATGTCCCAAGCTTGGACCGGGGAGAATATGCCACCGTCTGTTTGGTCACCTCTCTCTTGCCTGTCTCACTCACCCAGGCAGCTCCTTTCTTTGAATACATCACATCATAGTACTGGGAGCTTTCCTTCACCGCTATGCCATAGTAATGGTACCTGGGCAACCAAGAAAGAGACAGATGGGGTCCACATGACTCAGTATTAGATGACTATTTCTTGGGTTGGAGAATGTTGTCCAAAGCCAAGCATGACTGGACATATCCAAACCTGGGGCTAAAAGAGTTAACTCTTCTATAAGGCTTGACATCTCTGAAATCTACAATTAAGCCAAAGTTCCATGTTGCCAGCCATCAATCAGGCAGGTAAAAATAACTAAAATTGCCTCCTACAGAAAATGTTAAGTCAAATACTTTGCAAAGCAAAAGAGGGATGAGAAATGTTCCATTTGTACCTGATCTTGAATGTCTAGCAAATACCTTTCCATAAGTGCCTAACGTTTGAGTGTTCATCTCTGTGAGAACCGAGGAGCAGTTTGTGTCCATACATCAACAATAAAACCTTACCTGGCTAGGATTATCTTCTTCAGTAAAGGCTAGCTTCAAAGAGCTACATTTAAAAATTTTTAAATTTTATTATTATAAATTTGGAGACTAGGTTTGACTGTGTAACCCTGACTGGCCTGGAACTTGCTGTTTAGACCATGCTAGCCTCAAAACTCCCAGACTTCCACTTCAGAGACTCTGTCTCCCAAGTGCTAAGATCAAAGGTATGTGCCCCCACACCCAGCAGAAACTTTAATTTTAAAAAGATTCATCTACTGCCTCACTTGACCCTAATTGCCAAAGACCAGACTTTTTAAACTCACAATGGGTATAATAATCACAGACACACTTCCATTTACACCTGGAGGGAAAGAAGGAAGCTACGTCTGGTGGAGGAGGAGGTGGTGGGGTGTTTTGTACTTCAGCTAACTATCTACTGAGTACTTAAGTTCTGCGCACTTTGCAAAGTACTTTATTCACGCTAATTTGAAAATGAAATTAAGGATTGTTGCAGTCATCCTAAAGACGAGAAAATGGAAAAGGGGGGAAATCAAGCAATGTGCTCGAGGGTATAGACCAATTTCAGGCAAGAACAGGCTGTAGACCAGTCTGTTTGCCTACACAGCCACTGTGCAGTGCTAACCGTAAACAGGACGTGTGCATCAGAATTACTTTTGGAGTTTAATAAACGTGCAGATTCCTAGGCCCCTTCCCAGAACACACTGAGTCAGAACATCTGAGAATGAAGCATGAATCAGCCTTGAAATGAACAGCATAAGCTACTGTGAGGCCAGGCTCACCAGCTCGAGGTCCATGGCAAGAAGGACTTGACACACAAAATCTTCTCTCACAAAATCCCCCATGAGGCTAGAAATATCTCAGGCGTCACATTTTACAAACAAGGAAACTATCTTCTAGAGAATTTAAGTGATGCACCCAGTCACCCAGTGAGGAGGCAGCAGAGTCAGGATCTGAACTTCTAATGGGCTTTGCACCTTAGCCAGTGATTCCCAAGCTTTATTAACAATAAGAATCACCCACAGTGCACACGGCAGCATCCTGACCCCCAAGATTCCGATTTCCTGCATCTAGGGTGGGGTTTCACAGTGCAGTGGCGATGCTGTGGTAGTTATGGGCCTCACTTTCAGAAACACTGAGCAACACGTCAGCTACTTTTCTCTATCCAGATACATGGCGATGGGTACAGGGAAGTATTTTGAGTTTTGGGAAAGGTGTTCACGGGGAGAGAGAGATGGGTGCGTGTAACCTTCCCTTTCACAGCCCCCTTCCTGCTGGTACCATTCTGTGAAATTTCTGCCCAGTGGGCAGCTTGCCTCCATCTGCATGCCTCCTGGGATGAAGAACTCAGGCCCTCCGAAGGCAGCCCAGTTCATTTTCAGCCGATGTAGTTACCAGAAAGTTCTTTGTGTTGAGCTAATATCTACTGTCTGGGCCTTCTACTTCCCAACTGTCACATAACTGCCTTTCCATCTGTGGGCAATCTGTGGGGGAGGGGCTGGTTCCAGGGACTCACAGAGGTACCTTGTGGTGGAAAGACAGTTATATAGCATACCTCCTTAGCTTTAAAATGTTCCTTATAACTTAAGGTTAAGACAGTCTTAACTTAATATGACATTATGAGATAGTTACATTACTATAAGATAGAACAATTTATTTCCTGGTTCATCTATGCATGTTGCTGACATCTGCAATTATAGGAAAGCTACTATTCTGGTCTGGTCCCATCTTGGTTTTACTAGTTAGGTTCTGGAGAGAGAGTCAACACTCCTCACCAGACATGCCTCTGTTTCATCTATAGGAGTGCATTTGCTAAGGGATTTTGAGAGGCTATGCTGCAGGATGGAGACTTGTTTGCAGCTTGAAACATCCCATTGCCTTTAGATTGGCTGAACATGTGAATCCTCGTGGAGATGGTAGAATATGGCTCTGTGTGTGCAGAACTTTAAAAATGGATGCTGCCCAGCTTGCTACCATGTAGGTTAAAGAAAAGACGAACAGAAAGACAGGCTCTCTCAGAGAGGACCATTCTCCAAGTGCATGCTTTCTAACCTTTCTGGTTCTCCACATTTACCAACTTTTTCTACCATTCCTATTCTCCTTAGAAATCAGAAATTGAGGACTGGAGCCAGTGGTTTTCCAAAGACCACAGGCTAGACAAAAATTTCCATATGTTTCTATTTATTCAGCCTCTTTTTATTCAGCCTGCCCCACCCTAACAAGGTCTTGCTGTGTATGTAACTCAGGTGGCTGGTCTTGTAACATATGGCCTCACACTCCTGCCTCAGACTCCAAAATCCTGAGAAGATTGGAAGATGTCACCTTGCATGGCTCAAATCTGGTTCGACCAAGATTTTGAATTATCAACTTCTGATCACCAGCAAACAATTTTTAAAAATCTGATTTTTGTATATTATCCTTACTGATGTTGCAACCTTGCTTTTAAACAAAACACCAGGTTTTCTTTATAAATGAAGTTAGGTAGTTAGTTCTTCAGTGTAGTCACCCTGGGAAATAAATCATTGAGAAATCATCTCAAGATGTCCTTTGTTCAAAATTTTTCTGGACAGTCCTTAGGAACTTCTCTCAAGAGCTTCTGATACACACACACACACACTCATATAGACACAGACATACACAGAGACACAGACACATATAGACAATAGATACACACAGGCACACACATAGACACAGACAGACACCTATACGCACATATAGAGACACACACAGGCACACATACACCTAGACACAGACACACACAAACATATACAGATACACACACGAATACATGCAGACATACACATAGATACAGACACACACACAGTCTTGTTTTCAGACTTTACCATAACAGGGTTTTCCCCACTTTGATCATCTGTTTTCCTCCCTTGCCTTGCTCAGGGGCCAGCATGAGCATGGTGGGGAGCTCTGTCTCTTGGGGTAACAGTGTGCTTCCACCCCCCAACAACTCTGACTCTACCCCCTCTGCCCAGACATGACTTCTGCGGCCTATATGGAGATGTGATGTTCCTTCTTTTTGAAGAGGTTTCTGTGTTTGCTGGCTCATTGTGCTGCCTGCTCATGGCTGTCAAAGGTCTAGAATGCTGCATAAGAAGAAGGCACCCTCTAGTGGAGTCAAGGTGCACATTAGCATAATAAAGGTTCTTAGAAGACTCCCAGGAAAGGGAGCTGTTGAACTGGGGGTGGCCAAACTTGTGTGGCCACCTCCTTCTTCCAAGGGAAACTTCCTGACCCTTAGAAGTTTCCAAACTATCCTGAGAGGCAACTCCTGCGTGTCTTTGATGTAGTAGGACTGGCTGAATCCCCCTTTCTGATACACACCTGGGTGACAGGAATCCTCACAGGCTTCCTCTTTAGCATCAGCTCCTCAAAAAGTTCTCCCCATGCCTCTTCTCTTTTCTTACTCTCTGCTATCATGTGAAACATAGGTCTTCTTTTCCTGTCTGTCTTATGTATCAGAATGTTCCTGGCATGCCAGGCATGATGGTTCAGGACAATGATCTCATGTGAGGGGTCCAGGCAAGACGACTGTGCTGAGTTTGAGCTTACAGAGCAGGACTCCTGTCCCAGCAAGTGTTGGCAGGCTGGAAGAAACCACCAAGGCACCGGGAGAAACCACCTGCCCATCGTCCATGTTGTTGGAGCTGGTTTGTGCCTCTGGCCCACTGTATACTCTCAGAGCAGAGGTTATTTCATTGAACACTCTGAGCAACCTGGAAAGGGTCTGAGGGATCACAGGACTCCTTGGAGATATGCAAAGATTGCTTTACAAAGGACAACTGAGGACAAGGTGGCACAGAGTCAGATGGCATCGAGCAGCTGGCCCAAAGGTCCCAGCTGGCTTTTGGATGGCCAGGCTTACTCTCTGTCCTCCATACTTCCGCCCCTCAGGCACAGACCTCCCCACAGGCCTGTAGACCATGCTCTGACAGCCATCCTGGGCTCTGGCCTCAGGGTCCAGTGATGGACGCTGTGAGGGCAGCATGGCTGTTGGATACTTACTTTGACTGTCCTCGGGTCCCAAGCCTTCTGGTGGTTAGCTGAGGAAACTGCTGCCTTATGATCTGTAAGGGCGACACAAGAGCAGATTACCCATCAGGGTATAGGACTGACAGGGAAGCAAGCGGGTGCTGGTGCAATGACTGGCTAGGAGTCTTTGAGAACACTCTGGAGCAGACTCCTGGTGCTGGGCTGGGGGAGGGGCAAGTGGCTAGCACACTGACAGTTGTGGGGCTCAGACCCTGAGGAGCTCACTGGAGATCTCGCTGGGCTTTCTTTATCCCCTCTTAGTCACAGCACAGGAAAGCCCAGGATGCTTTAAAATATATTATTTCCCCTTGAGACTGCCATCATACTTGCAGCCAAACTCACCTTCGGCCCTGTAACTAGTCCTTGTGTACCACACCGCTTTGGTCCCTATGAGCTGGCCTCTTTCCATCTCACATCCCCCTACGAGAATGCAAGTTCACCCACATTTCACAGGCTTGCTTCCATCTCCATTTGGGGCTTCTGAGCAAGATGCCCCTGCTCAGAGGCCTTCTGAAACCAACTAGTGTCCAGTAGCAACAGTTGTCTCTCGCTGTCTCCAGGTTCTACTGTAAGGCTTCTATCTGAGAACAACCAGGGCACTTCCCCACTGAGTACTGACTGGGTCTCTTGCTACTTGGATGTAGAGTGTGCGAGAGCAAAGACCTTGCTTGCTCAGGGCTGGGACTTGGGAAAGCTTGGTCTTGCTGTGGACTGAAAAGATAAGGTTCTGGTCCCTGCCCAGAGGAGACTATTGTAACTACTGCGGCCTAGGACAATCATACTCCTGAAAGAAGTCGGGGGGGGGGGGATCTGCCTTCATTGGTGTTTACTGAGATGGTGTTTTTGGAGAGGTGACATAATGGAAAGTTTGTGTGGTGGCAGGGGAACTAGGGGACCTGGATTATATCTTGGCTGGGCCACTTGTGAGGTGGATGCATTTACATTTCACAGGGCACATCCCTATTTACAAAATGGGAATGAGGGGCTGGAGAGATGGCTCAACTGTTAAGAGTATGTGCTGCTCTTGCAGAAGGATCTGAGTTTGATTCCCACGTCTGGCAGTCCATAGCTCCAAGGGACCCAACGCCCCCTTCTGGTCTCTGCAAGCACCTGCACTCATGTGCACATACCCACCCACAGATGCCCATGCATACTCATCCTTAAAAATAAAAAACTTTAAAATAGAAATGATAAGAACCTCTACCTTAAAGAATCTTTGTGAAATTTGTGTGTGTGTGTCTGTCTGTCTGTCTGTCTGTCTGGGGGTGAAGGATGTGAATAGATGATGTAGAGCCCAGTGCTTAGTACATGCTCAATACATGAGTTTTAGACTCTCCTGATGGCTCTGGCTCATTTCATTCCTCAGAAGCTTTCAATTTTAGGCTTACTCAGAATCCTCCAGGTATACTTCCCTGCTGGCTAAGTGCTCAGCAGACATTCATGGTCAGGCTGCACAGTGTCCTGCCCAAAGAGATGCTATGCCTGTATCCCCACTGGCTGGGTGCAAGCCTCAGCTTTCTTTAGAGATAGGGTTCTTTTCATTACACTGGCAATGTTTTTCACCCACACTGGTGCTTTGACTAACTTAACTCATCTGTGCAATAAACAGGCACCAGGAGCCTGTTAGTTGTTTAAACTCAGCACACTCAATCTTTGTGTGCCTTGCTTTCCCTCTGTGATGTCTGAAGACTAGGGAGTCATGTAGTCTGTCCTTAATCAGAGGGACAGCTGATGGTGTCGCCAATTAAACTAGCGTCAGTTCAGCAGGATGGAAAAAAGTGAACAGATAGCGGGATACTGAGATCTTTGAGCGGGCAGTGTGAAGACTGTCCATTTTTGCACTTAGGGAGTTGAGTAACTTCAAGGTGGAGAATAGACAGGCAGCCTTGCCTCATCTCAGAGTGGAGGAGGAAAGAGCGCAAAGGATGCTCGGAGAATCTTCTGCAAAAATATCATAGGACCACTTTGGGAGAGAAATGAGACAAAAGGCTTACTTGGAAAAGTGCTTGCTATGTATATGAAGACCTGAGTAAAGTGCAGTATCAGAGCCTGTGTCAGCGACACGGCTCTTGAAACCCTGTTATGCAATCTGAGCCTATACTACAGTTTAATGGCTGTATCCCCTCACATTTGTGTCAGCCTGTGACCCAACCCCTCCAGAGGCTCATCACATGACCAGCTATAGAGCAAAGATATTAAGGATGGTTAAGTCCTGGATGGTAGAGATAAGCCAGGACTGCAGAGGAGTGACAAGAGAAACATAAATACGGAGTCAAGGCTTCATGCTGGTTGGAAGAGGATCATGATCTGGGTTCTGAGTTTCCTAACCACGCAAGTAGACAAGATAACAATAGTGATACAGGGGGTCTAGCCCCCTTTGGAAAAAGCAGGGCTACTCTTGTGTTTATCCCTGAGAAATTTCTTCTTCGTAAATGGGTACAGCAGCGAGCCCACTAATATTAGCAGATACTATGAAAATGGAAACATTTGATACCATCGAAAGCTGTAGTAAAAGGCCAGTAAGATGTGTCAGTGAGTGAATAAACAGCTTGCCATCAAGCCTGATGACCTCACTTCAATCCCCAGGGCCCACACTATAGAAAGTGCACTGTGGCGTGTATATGTGCACACATATTCGTGTGCATATATGCTAAACTAATGTAATAAACGGCTTAAGTCTGTGTAGTACAACTAGAATCCTCAGATTGCCAGGAATTCTATTAGGACAGCTGTTCCTCCAAAGAAGCTTCACAGTGTATGTCAGGAGCCACTAAACACTTTAGATTTTCTGATCTATTGATTCTAAGAAAATATCCTAAAATAAGAATGCAGAAGATGTGGGGCTTTTAGTAAGAGAAAAATTAGAAATACCACGAATGTCCCATGGCAGGGAACTGGCTAATACATGTTCTATACACATTCAATAGTACTCATGTAGCCATAAAGAATGGTCACAAAATCTCTTAATATGTCATGGCATCAAAACTCTGTGTGAGGAAATACCAGGTAGAATCACACGCATTAAACTCCGGCTATAATTTTTGCTTGTAAAGATACAAGCATGAGTGGAGCGTGTGGAGACCTAAACTGAGAATTCTCTAGGGTGGTTGTGTGGCGGATAGGACAAAAGCAGGGCTCTGGGATCCCTGCTGTCCTAAACTGTTTACACAAAGAAAGAAAAGACGTTTCTTATTAGTAGTAGTCCTAGTTGATAAAAATGTTGAGGATAATCTCACAAGATTCATCAAAGAGAGACCAGGATGTTAGAGTGTGGCTTCACTTTCAAACCATTTTCTGTTCCCAGTAAATCATCTCTGATAATAAAAGGAATCGGTACAGGTTTGTTTGGTTGCTAAGCCGTTGACTTAGGAGACTGGCTGGGTTCTGAAGGCCCCAGCTCTGTTTATGCTAATGGTATCCCAAACGACATCCACAGAACAAACAGGCAAACCCTTGGCTGGAGAGACAGGGTTGCAGGCTCATCTACTGACAAGCCACTGGGGCATAGTGACAGACTTCCCAGAATCATTTGTTCTACCGCCATGAGTCAACATGAGCTACCATCCAAGGCCTTGTCATTCTTTGTCTGGTCATGACACGGGCCTGGGAACTCACTGACCAGTTTGACCTATGGTTCCCTCCATTGCTCATGGTTTCTCTTGCTTACTTGGAATAACTTGTCTATCAGGATGGTGCCTTTACCATCTTTATGCCTAGCGATTATTTTTCTAAGAAAGTAGGCAGTCTTTCCTGTCACCACCATCCCCCTGCCCCCACCCCCACCAGTGATTCTGCCACCTGTGCTTCTCCCCTGGGAGCCAGCTGCTTCTTTATGTCCCTTTCATCTCTGCTCTAGCCATGTCATCTCCCAACAGGATGTCCTGCCTCCCACCCAGCCTCCTCAGGAGGAGCCACCTAAAAGACACATGTCATCATTCCGTGGTTTTGTTGGAAATGCTAGGTTCCTTTCTTCCCCCTCTGGAAAAGAATTCCCACTTCTGGTCCACTACCCAGCGTCTCTCAGATGTTCCCCAAACTACAAGTTCATGCTGCTCCTGTCACCATGATGCTTTCTTGGCTTAGACTGTCAAGCTCATGACCATGATGTCACCAATCCCCAGGGGGCTCCCCCGTCTTTCTCTGAGTCCCTGTCACTTTCCTTATGAACTGGATATAATTGTTTGAACCTGAAATATCCACCACAGCTTCATATTTTAAATGCTTGGTCGCCAGCTTGTGGTACAATTTTAAAGGCTCTAGAAGCTTTAGTAGGCAGGGCGTATCTGGGATAAGTAGGCCGTTAGGTGCAGCCTTTGAAGGTTATGCTCCCTGGACTCAGCCTATCTCGGTCTATGTCCTAGTCTGCGTAGTGAGAACAGTTGCCAGTCCAAGCTCACCTTTGTGCCCTGTGGGGCTGAGAAGCTATCTGACTGTGGGAGCCAGCCTGGAGCAAAAAGGAGGTCAAGGCATGTCCTAACCCCAAAAAGACTGAAAAGATCATCCTGAGACTGCAGAAGAAGGGCTCTCCCTCCCTGCCCTGGATCTGCACATCCTGGCATCAGGTTAGAGGTTAAACTTCCTCTCTCTTTATAAGGTGTTGAACAAGCACCTGGAATTCCTCCTCATGCAAATGAGGAATTCCCAGTACCTGAGCCCCAACCAATGATGATATTCACCCCAAAAGCTTCTACCCACTCCCTCAAGGATTAAACAAAGCCTTTGTTAACCCCCCACCCCCACCCCGATTAAATGAGCTGCTAAATGAAGCCCACCTCTCAAGAAGTCTGTTTCTCTTTGTGCACACTTGTTCCATGAGGTCTCCTTTACCCCCCCTCCGCCTCCGCCCCATACCCCTCCCCTCCTCCCACCCGGCCATTCCTACTTCACCTTCCCTCTCTCGCCTCCGCCTCCTCCGTTCTGATCATGCCAGTAAGGGAGGGGGAGTAGACACGCCTGCTGCCATGCCTTCTCCCTGGGATGGGCCGAAACTTCACTAAAACCATGAGCTAATACTTTCTCCCTCTGTGTCCATTCC